TGTGTGCAGTCTGTTGCCATTCTGTCAACAGACACTGTTGACATACTCTGCGTAAAATCTGCTCGCACAGGTTTGGCTATCTGGGTAGTAGCAAAATTCATTGGCTTTATATTGGCTAAATATTGGTTATTTTAGGAATACATCGGTCAATATTTCCCAATATTCAGCCAATATTAGACATGAAATAATTAGAAATTACTAATATTACTAATATTGTACGTTAAATATTTACCCAGTAAGCAATCTGCGCGCAGACTGACGTCAGACTGTCGACAGGATCTGTCGACAGATCCATAGACATCTGCGTCCCCAATCTGCCGCCAGACTGTTGACAGGGTTTGCGAATAGACTTTGACGACAGACTAGCGGCAGATTGCGCGCAGATCCTGTCGTTTCGTAGGTTCTTCAATTAAATTTTCTCATAATTTTTCATAATTACTCATAGAATAAGCGCTTTCTCATAAATACTCATAAAATACTATGACAAAAAAAATTTTTCTACATTATTTTTTCATAATTTCTAATATTTTCTCTAGTGAGATTCGAACTTGAACTGAAGTCATCTTTTGGATAATCGTCCGTCGCCTTAGACACTACGCCAATTCCTCACTTGATAAAAAGGGGAGCGGTGCACTTGGACACGGTGCATTTGGACACAGCCAATCACAGCACCGTGTGATTAGAGACATTTGTAGGGTCCCTTGGAACAGCGACTTGTGATTGGACTGTGTCCAATTGCCCGGTGTCCAACTGATATACACCCGATAAAAAGTGCTTTATATTGCCCACTTAAAGGTTAAGGAAAAAAAATCTTATAGTTTGTTTGCCTTTTAAATCGCAAAATATCGACGAAACCGTTTAGCATATAAATAATGTAAGAGAGACCGGCACGATAATTCGAAATTAATTTTCTACCAAGGACTGTATAGAAAATTACTGCAATAAAACAGCAGATAATGACATTTTTCCATCATGTTAATAAAATACTGTACTTTTGCATATGCGAATTAATTTGGTCGATCGTCCCGTTCAGATTGTATCAAGTTTTATCAAAATCGAAGCATGATATATTTTTACA